TCCAAGCTTTCTAATTCCAAATCAATTCTCAAGAAATAGCTTCCTTAGGGAATAGTTTTCCACTTCAGCCTACATGTATCATGAGTATGTATTGTGTGCCAGATGCAGGGGAGGGAGCAAAGCATAATACACAGTCTTGGCTCATGAGTGGTTTCCTTGAGGAATCCCTGAGAGAGATCAGATTATTTCAACTCATGTTAGTCATTTATAGTTTGCTGGCATACACTACAGGTCCCACACCCAGAAATTTTAGGGATTGTCTGTCAGATTTAGTCTATAAGAAGAGAGGTGTTGTTTTTTTGGCTATTCCACAAGACATTCAGTATCTTAGTTCCCCGGCCAAGAATGGAACCCGTGCCCCCTGCGATGGAAGCTCTGAGCCTTAAACCACTGGACCAACCAGGGAAGTTCCAGAAGAGAGGTTTTGATGTTACTCCCCACTCATGAAGTTGCAAGTTGATGTATTGGTTAGGACTCTAACCAAGGAACAAGAACCGACTCCCACTAGGAAAAGCAAGAAGAAAATAATAAAACTAATGGAGAGAAATCTCATGGAACCCAAGGTCAGAAATCCAGCCCCCATTCAGGAAATGCTGGGACAAGAAATTAGGAAGCCTTCAGAATTCTTCATCTTACAAGTTTATCTTTCTTTAGGTACCTGCTTTCTTCTTCTCCCTCTCTGAATACCAGTTTTCTCTGCTTCCCTGGTCTTGGTGAAATATGGCTAGCTCTTAGCTCCTTAGGTCACTAGAAAGTAATTCAGAAAGCACATTTAGAAAGTAATTTGCTGGTTCTCCATCTGATTCCAGATTCCAATCCCAGCTGAAGCAAATGTCCGCTTCCACTTTAGTCAGCCATTCCCAGAGTAGAGAAAACATCCCGTACAGCATGGATATCAGGATGGTGTAAGGATGGTGGAAGAGGGCTGTGTCCTGAACAGATACCTCAAATTCAATGTTGGAAGTCTAAGCCAAATATCTAGAGTTAGCTAAACAAAAACTCCAAAAAGAGTGAATGGAGAAGACGAATGGATGTGTGGCCTCACTGGATATTTCCTGTCTCTGTCAGTGCTTCTGTGGTTTCTTCTGCTTTAATCAAGCCACTGTTGACTTCTTGCTTCATGTTGGAGGGCATCATGATGGCTTGAAAGCCCACATGAACATGATCTCCAGTTTTCACCTTTGCATGTTACCTTTTTTCAACATCAAATGTGCCAATTATAAAATTGTGGGTTTTCTCATAAAACCACCCTCTGGAAAGAAGCATAGGATTATTTTCTCTTCTCAAACAGCTATTTTTCTCCTTGTAGACCCCTGTAGGTATAAGCTGAAGCTTCCTTCTTACAAGAAATGTTTATCATAAGAGAGTGAGATGAGTAGATGAGTGTGAAAATGCCTTTTTCTATACCCTCTGTCTATTCCTGCCATGAGTATTATTTAAACATGATGAAATCTCATGAGGATTTGAAATCAACTAACCCTTCCATCTCCAAGTGCTTCTAGATCACCATCCCGGCTATTTAAAAAGTTGTTGAACCTTCAACTGCTGCTGAGGCTTCTCTTTGCTCCTTTCGACATGGGGGTTTCCCAGCTGCAGTCAGTACATAATATCTTCTCAACCCAGGGTTTGAACCCTCTTCTCCTTTGTCTTCTGCATTTGCAGGAGGATTCTTTACTACTGAGCTACCTGGGGAAACCCCAACACACAATACGTGTGTGTGTTCTCAGTCACTTGTCATGCCCGACTCTTCGCAACCCCATGGACTGTAGCCCACCGGGCTCCTCTGTCTGTGGGATTATGCTGGCAAGAATACTGGAGTGAGTTGCCATTTCCTCCTCCAGGGGATCTTCCTGACCCAGGGATCAAACCTGCATCTCCTGCAGCTCCTGCATTGCAGGTAGATTCTTTAGTGCTGAGCGATCTAGGAAGCAAACATACAATATATAGAGAATCAGTTTTGGTTGCTTGGTTAGGAGCTAAGCTGGTTTCCTGTCCTCCGTGTTATTTGGCTGAACAAGCATAACCTTGATTATTTTTCTCTCCTTGAGGGAAGCATTACTGTCATAGGTGGTTTGTATTGACTCACGTAACCCTTACAACAACTCTCTGAGGTAGGGACTGTCATAATTGTCATCTGACAGATAAAGAAGCTAATAGGTTAAGTGACTTGTCCAAGATAACACAACTGTAAAGAGCAAGTCGGGGATTCAAACGCAGACAGTCAGGCTCATTGAAAGCCCATATTTTTATCACTAGACTAATCCTCTTTATGTAGTATTTGTGTTTCATAGGGAACTCAGGAAATTTTATTACTTGTCTCTCACCAAAGTAATAGAACCAAGCAAATGAAACCTTCCCTCTCTAGACATGACAATTTCTTATCAGCCTCCAGAAAAGGAGCTAGCTTGACACTCAGTTACCAGGACTGTTTCTTATATTATAAAGAATTTACTTGTCAATTTAAAAAAAACAGTTGTAAATTTATAAGATTTGAACCTCTTAACAGTGCTTCTCAAAGTCTATTCTATGGACCCAGTGCACCAGTATCCTCAGGATATGTATTTCAAACATGAAATCTGGGCTCCACATCTAGGTTTCATGAAACAGAATCCCTACAAGTGGATTGCAGTAATCTGCATTTTTAGGAAGCACCCCAGCGATTCTTGTACACACCAAAGATTGACAAGCATTACAGAGTTGCATCTGGGTGTTTTACGAACTCTGCACATCATCAATTCAACTGCAGATGATTATAGAAAGCTTTCAAAGCCTCTGTGCATTCGGTAGCTATTTCAGGGAGAATTGTAATGTGCAAGAAGTGTTCCGAAATTGTTACAGTCTCCTTCTGTGTAAACCAGCTGGCTAAGAAAGCTTGAATAATTTCCCAAGGGACTCTAGTGAGTGGACATTTGTACACTCTTTACCTATGAAAATATAGAAAAGACACAGCTTTCCGCCAGGATTCAAATCAAATCTTTCAGAATGGGATTCTGATCATCTTTCTTAAAATTCTTCCAAAGACCTTAACAGAGACCGTGAGACCTAGCATAACCTGACTATGCAGCCTCCCCAGCTTTATCCTTGAACATGCTCACCCACTGCCCCAGGGACACTGAACTTCTTTTAGTTCTAATACCACATATGATCCTGGAACATATTATACACCCCCCAGCCCCAGCATCTGGTTAGCTCTCTCTCTCTCCCTTCAGAGCCCAGCTTAAATGGCCCTTTCTTAGAAGTGTCTGCCTTGAAGAAGTCAGAGCATCCTATTATCTACCACTTCTCCTAGCATCGTTCCTCCATGGCACTCGCCATAGTTTTTCAGTCTGCTTTTGACTGTGGTCATATTCATCTGTCTCCCCACATAGATTATAAGCATATCACTACTGTTTTGTGAATTCTGGTGTCTAGTAGAAGTGTCTGCTACCACTTTAAGTACCTCATAATGTTGAAAAGTCCTGATTCTCAGTCTAAAATTTAACATTCATTCTGTAAAGATTCTACAGTTCTTTTTTTTTTCCATTTCTATCCCTATGACTAAATGGCAGTGAACTGAAAATTCTGAACCCCAGACTTCTTTGTGTGTTCTAGATCCCTTTAATGAATATGTCAACAGCTCTAATCCTGGTGCTATTTTTAAATGGCTCATAGTATGGTTATATAGTCATTAGTTGTTAAAAGGAAAGTTAATGAAAGAGTGGAAATTTCTGATTTTGAAAAGTCACAAAGTAACTAATTATCTATTTCCTCCTTTACTTCAAAGGCTGAACTGGTTTCTTATTATTGAATAGGGTAGGGAGAGCAGTGAGCCTAATTGGTGATTAGATGGGTTTATTTTATTTCATCATTGCTTTCAAGTGTACCTTTGGTCAACTATATGAACTATCAAGCTTATCTTTTGTAAAAGTATTATCTATATGAGAGTATTTCATATTCCCACAGTAATTTGATCACAATGATACTTCGTTTTAAGCAATTTTGACACTAAATGATGGATTCTAAGTGTTTCAGAATTATAAGTGTGTTAAAAGCTAGAATTGTCCAGAACCTGAAGACATACATAGCATTTAACAAACTGTGGGTATTTTAAATGATTAAAACACTGTCTTCTGAGTATTTAAATTTAAAAAAATTATATCTTACATGATACTAACATATCAAAACCTAATAGTTATAAGTGGATGTTCTCAAAAAAAATAAATAAGTGGATGTTCTCCCATGACTTTTTAAAACACCTCCCCAAGGAAGCTGAGTGCCAGTGACCTCCCAAATTCTCCCTTGATTAAACATAGGTTTCATTTTATGCATTAAAGTGGCAAAGGATTAGAAGGATAGTGGCAGGCTAGTGACCTTGACAGCAAAGCAGTCCAGATCACTGTGAATTACACCTCACATGATTTATGTTGTACCTTTCTAACATGGTCATCGTCCAAAACTAAACATCTGACATTCATGTTTAAAAATCCATGGGAAATGGTAGATAAGGATATTTGCTAATTGTGTTTCATGCCTACAGTATTCTTAGCACTTTCATATTAATTTCATCACTTGGTTTATACAACAACTCAATGAAATAGATGCTATGAGTAAGTCCACTTTACAAATGAGGAGACTGAGACACAGAGGGTGTCACAGACACACAGCCATTTAGCTGTTTTAGAACCAGGATTCCAACCTAGTCAGCCTGCCCAGCCAGCACCTCCTCCTAATGATTAGACTAAACTCCCTTCCATACATACTTTCTATAAGAACAATGAACTAGGAAGCTTGGTCCTGCTTTCTTTCCTTCTTATTTTCTCTTTAGAGAGTGGGGGAGGAAGGTGTTTTGTTTTGTTTTGTTTTGTTCTAAAGGAGAAGCTGAAAGTGAGCCCTCTTTCTTTTTGAACATCTTTTTCCAAAGTCAGTTCCCTTCATCTGGGGCCAGGAAGGACACTGATTCAGGAGACAGAGCGCTAATGAGCTTTCCTCTTTGTCTCCTTCCCTGTCTCTCCACTCTGCAGCTAATAGCCAAGATACCAACCATCACAGCAGTTTGCAACTTGCACGGGGAGAAGCTGCAGGTATTTAAGCAATCGCATCCAGACATAGTGAATACACTCTTTCCTCCGTTGTACAAGGAGCTCTTTAATCCTGACTGTGCCACCGTCTGCAAGTGAAGGCGACAAGCGAACTGTCTCATAGTCGTGGAATGCATCACCATTAAGACAAAAGCAATGTGTTCATGAAGACTTAAGAAAAATGTCACTACTGCAACATTAGGAATGTCCTGCACTTAATAGAATTATTTTTCACCGCTACAGTTTGAAGAATGTAAATATGCACCTGAGTGGGGCTCTTTTATTTGTTTGTTTGTTTTTGAAATGACCATAAATATACAAATATAGGACACTGGGTGTTATCTTTTTTTAATTTTATTCAGGTATGTTTGGGGAAACAACTGTTTATAGAATTTTATTGTAGATATATACAAGAACAGAGCAGTACTTTACATGATTACTTTTCCTGTTGATTGTTCAAATATAATTTAAGAAAACTCCACTTAATAGGCTTACTGATTTCTATGTTTTTAGATAGGCGATGCATGTGTAAATTTGTAGCTGTCTTGGAAAGCACTGTGCAGGTATGTGATAAGTATATAATATCTGAGAATATTATATATGACTATTACTTATACACACACATGCACTGTGGCTTAAAATATCATACCTACTAGCAAAGGAGGTTCAGTCAGGCGCTCTTATGTTATTTACCTTCTGTGTTATATGTTACCTTTATGTTAGACAATCAGGATTTTGTTTTTCCAGCCAGAGTTTTCATCTGCAGTCAATAGCAGAATGGTACCAATTCAGAAATAAGTCGACAAAGGAATAAATATAACGCATGACCTCTATAGAAAAACTCTGTTTCAATCAATGACATCAAAGCCTTGTCAAGATGGTACATATTGGGGAAAAAAATAATAATAACTATTTTGAGCCATTTTCCTGTTTTAAGAATTAGGCCACAGAAAACATTGTGGAGTCCAGGGCCTTTTTGACCAAACGACAGATATATCCTATTTTTCATCAGGACACAAAAACCACCTTTTTTTCTTTGAATTTCAAGTTGTGAGAGAAACTTGATTTTGGTGCTTATTGTATCTTCAACAGAGAAATACAGCCGGTAGATTATGACCACCAGCAATTTTTTCTAAAAAAAATTAGAGTAAAAGAGTAAATCAGAACCCAGGGTCCTAATACCATTTCATGTAAACATTTTATCTCTTTTGCAAAGAAGTAGAAAGAGAACATACAAAGCAAAGAAGTAGTTCTTTATGTTCATTCTCTTTAATAAGTTTGTTAGAAAAAAAGCAGCAATAAATAAAGGGGGAGGCAGGACTTTCTATGTTCTTCTAGTCTGGGACCTCTAATTTTTTCAACTCAAAAATGCTATATTATAAAAATATAGCAAAACATTGATAGATTAGAATAAAAGATCTGTGTTATTCTACAGAACGAATGCACCCCAAAGCCAAAACCATTTCTGGTGCCGTTTGAAATTGCATCATCCATCTACCCTGGGGTTATTCTTTTAGCAACTTTTAAAAGTACAGAATGCCAGAGGTGAGATCAGGATTAGACAACTTGGATTTCCTAATACAAGATCTCACTTCCCCACTTGCCCTCCAATCAAAGTGATCACCAGAAAAACATAAATCCCAAGGAGTTTGTTCTGCCTGTGTTCTGGAGGCCTTATGACTTTAGTCTCATTTGACCCCAAATAAGAGTTTTTAAAAGGGATCTAGAGAGGAGGTTTGTGTATAAGACAGGGAAAATTATGATCTGTAAGTGTAGCCTGGCCATCAACTCATGAAGACCTGCCCTTATCTCCTTGTCTAACACACACACACACACACACACACACACATACACACACACACACACACACAAAATGCACACCTGCTTTGTGAAGTTTCCATCAATGGAAACTGATTTTTTTTAATCTCTTACGCTCTCCTGAAGTTGGATGGTTGACAGCCATCTCCAAGATGCCACAGCACTGCTCAATGATGATCAAACAGTAGTGTTCATCTTGTCTTTTAGAAAACAGAGCCTTTTCCCACCTCATGATTGATGAATTCCAAACCAATGGAGAAAAAAGGCTTTAAAATAATGAATCCCTTTTTCAACTACTGTTATATTCAATTAATTTAACTACACTGAACCCAATTACCTTCAGCGTCTAAGAAGACAGCTGTAGACTGCTTACTATGCTGCTACAGGGACTCAATTCTTTTCGGTGTAAATGTCACTCCTGTTAGCTCTTTGTATAAAGAATTAATTCCAAGAGTCATATTTCCTTCTAATGGAAAGATTACTTTACTGATTGCTAGGAAAACAGGGTAATGGAAGGCACTCAATTAAACCAAGCTGTTTCCAAATGCAATGTATGTTTTATGATTGGCTTGTGATAGGCAATGCTTAATGTGTCTGCTTGGCGTTTCCCTTTGAGCTTTGAACTTATGTCAAACTTTGCTTTCATTGTTCAGTTGGACTAGTGTTTCCTATTGTCAGCCTGTAATTCCTGCTCAGTTGCAAAGGGAACCATTTGTTTCCTCCAATTTACCTTAGAGGATTTAAATTGACTCAATTGATGAAGTGGCTGAGAATTTTCCCTTCCTTGTCCCATGGGTGATGTAGGAAAAAGATTGTTCCCCACATCTGCCTCAGGAGGTCCTGGATTTGAATTTGTGTTGTTTCCACTGGTGCAATCATGTCATTGGGACGGCATGAACCTTTTGAAGCTAGGGGACAGGAAACAGCTAACAACTGAACCAGAGCAAAACAGTGGAAACCAGTAGCACTCAGCCCCTTGCAGTTGAGGAAAGAGATTTCCAATTTTTGCCACAGTTGCCAGATCTGTCCCTTGACAGACAGCCAAGTCATGTGTTCAGTGGTAACAAAGTACCTTTAAAAGCTGCCCTTTGAATGTCTCCTGTGACTACCTCTGGAGGTATTTTGAAATTTTGGTTAACAACTTTCTTGACCACACGCAACCTTTGTCCCTTCCCCATGAAGACTCACGGGTGTTTGCAACACATTCATGATAAGGTGTGCGCTGGAAGAAAGGACCCAGGATCTGTGCTTTTCACTTCCTGCTTCGTAAATGACAATCACTGCTTGATGCAGATGTTGCACTGCTTCCACTCAGGGATGTTTTGTTTTGTTTTGTTTTTAAAAAACAAGGTGCACCAAGAAGGAGGGGAAAAACAGGAAAATGACCACAAAATGTAAATGGCGCAAATTAAACATGCCAATGAGAGAACCACTCTGACAAGGCTTTCAGACCAATGAGGGGTAACTTCATGCTGTAAGCTGAATTTACTTCTGTGTTTGGACTTGCTGAAAAATTGCTCATGAGTAAGAACAACTTAGCTTCATTTTCTAAAATCTCCTAAGAGCCAAATGATCCAGTTGCCCCATTTATAGGAATATGTATCTCCCAGAGAACCCAAGCTTCCTATACAAGTCCTATACAAGTCAGTGGCATTCACCACCTGACAAAGGAGGAGACTTGTGGTCTGTGAAAAGAAAGGCAAGTTTTTGAGGGAACATAGGAGAATAAGGAATTCTACATCTGGCCTAACATCTCATCTCTATCCCAACTGTCTGTGACTCTGGTCCTCTTTGTATTCCTTTTTCTGCAGCTCTTTTACCCCCCCAAAGATTGAAAACTGAGGGTGGAGATGTATTTGACAAACATACCCTTTCTGGATTTCCCTTATTTTAAAAGTGTCTTCAGGACTTTGGACCACTCAGTAGGTAAAAACAGACAATACAGGGGTCTCAGGTAATCAGATTTCTTTGATAGAATCTAAGAGACTCTGGATGTTAACAGTAGGTGCCAGTAGGCATTAGTTCATGTCCTATCACAGTTGCCTGCTCAACACACAACTTCCCAGCAGTCAAGCTAAACTGCTTGTAGAAAACTTCGCACATGGATAGTCAATTCACGCTCACTCTCTATAGTCCCATGTGTACCAGACTTGACTGCAAAAGCAATCTTATGTCCCAAGGACACAACTTAACAGCTTTTTTCAAAGTCATCAATCAGATGCAAATTATGTCAGTTTCATTCTGTTTTTGTTTCCATTTATCATAGAAGCAAGGAAAAATTCTACTGCTATTGGAAATTAGAAGAAATAACATTTTCCTGATTCCTTTCTCTCTGGAAGCTACTACAATTGGCAGTAAGTTCAGACAAGGGCATCTGTGCCCTGACAGAACCACCGTTCAAGAGAACAGCAATAACTTGAAAGTGTGCATCTGTAGTGACACTCTGCACAGAGTCCCCTCTAACGAGAGCGGAAGTCCCACCATCTGCTTTAGATGAAGTGGTATTTGATTTTCTGTTCCCAACTGCTAATCCAAACAGCAATCTGATATGGGCAGCCACGTGTGTCTTTAGACAAGAGCTGGCATCCTTTTGGGGTTGGTGGTAGGGGAGTATCTCAGGACCAGAGAAACATGTTTGTTTAAAGCTAAGGTTAAAAATTCAACAGTCTAAGAGGGCCAGGGAGTTGATGCAAATGAGTGAAGCAGTCTGGTGGGAAGCTAGCAAGGATATGCCCCAATGAAAAGGGGCATCCAAGAGTCTAAAGTTTCTAAATCTTATGCAATCTCTTGAGTCGTAAATGTCAGTTGATTCAAGGCTTAGTGCAGACCAAACAAACATGTCTCAGGGCAGAAGGCAGTCACAAGCCCTGAAAATCCAATCTCGGGGCCTATCTGACTGGAGCAAGTCCGACCAGATACAACTCTGGGTGACATTAGAGTCGGGTTCAGGGGCAAGAGGTCTTGCTCTTCTGACACTTAATTTGATTTCCATATTTGACTAGAGGATATAGTAACAGGTCGGCTTTAAAAATGGCAAACAATCTGAAAATGAAAATAATTTCATGATGGCTTATAAAAGACACTCTGTTTTGCCCAAACTTTCAGCTTCATAGAGTCAGGTGATTGGATTTCTTGCCACTTTCTTGTTCTGGAAGTCCAATGCACAATTTTTATGCTTTTGAGTCTTGGTGTGCGTCTTTAAATGTGCGGTTTCATAATCTGCAAGTTCTTATTTTTCCCTTGGTTGTGTCTAAAGAATGTATTCCACAGTCACGGTAACGTAGTCCTCCATTGTTCTGAAGTGAGGGACTATGGATTTCTTTGCAGCCGATAGGGGTGGTCTGTTCGTGCACTTTTTTCCTTAGCTGTTGAAATTCCTCCGAAGCGAACTGGCCATAGTAATCTTTCTTTGCCTCCGGCGTGACTGTAAGCACGACCTCCAGTGGAGCAGACAGAGCAGCTGAGTGATGGTTCTTACCGCCAAAAATAAAGCACAAGGTGACTGAGATTGAATAGACCCGGCTGGGGGAAGCGCAGGGGCTGTGCGCCCCCGCTGGGCAGCGTGATCCTCCTGTTAAACCACACTCTTCAGGCAGTGGAAACCACACTCTTCAGGCAGTGGCTGATGGAGGGCAGAGGCCTGCCTGGGTCATGACCGAACACAGACACACACTAGTGTCAGAGAAGCTCCGGACCACACCCCCAAGACGGTACCGTCTGCTTCATCTGATTCACACACACACACACACACACACACACAGGAATGAAAACTACACCTATAGAAAATTGAGTATGTATTGTAGAAATGTAGAGGAAAATAAAAATATTTTTTCAGATGTAATTACTTTTAATATATGCTTGTGGAAGGTCTAATATGATGTATGCTGTCTCTGTAATTTTTGCTGTAAATAACTGGAGACAGTGAATACACTGATTTTTATATGTCTCTGTTTAAGCATAAGACTTTGTAACGATTTTTTTAGAGGGGGAAAAACCAACAAAGAGCGAATATGTACTTGCTTCCTTTCTGCGTGTTACGTACTCCTCAGAAACTGGTTGTAATGGTTTAAGCATCTTGATGGGTCATTGGTGTTAAGTGTACGCTTCCTTTTGTAAGACAGCTGAGAAAGGGACAGGGCTGTCAATGAAATCTGCTCCAAAGAATCTGTATTGAAGATTTCCCTAAGACCTGTAAACTCTATCTAAACCAGACAACATGAAAAAGGAAAATTTTTTAAAAAAGAAAAAAAAAAATGTTGCCTGAGTAAGTCCTCTTTCCTCGTAGCAAACGGCTTAGTCCATATCCTTTCTGCACGGAATAGCTTAAGGAAAACAAACTCTGCTTTCTGATGAACAAAATATTTTTGTACACATTTATTTCGTATTAATAACCTAAGGTCAGATCACTCATTTGCTGAAGCCATAACTGACCTTTACCAAATAAATGTTGTCAAGAACCTGGGGAGGGTGGGGGGAAACTGAGAGGGCGGAAAGTTGAAGGTGTCATGAGCTGTAACAAGACAGGCAGGAGCAAGTCTGATGCGTCTGATGCTTTTCCTGCATCCCAAACACAACTTTAAAAGGCTAATATTTTATGATGATCGATTTATAATAAAAAAAAAGATATTTAGATTTAAATGAGACTTTCCAATATTTTTGAAATCCCTGACAATAATTCCTTGCTTTTAGGATTGAGAGAAATAATTTTCATGTACTTCCAACATTCAGAGATTTAATGTTTTTACCTGAGCTCCAGCCCACACGTGTCAAGTAGAGAGCAGAGCTCCGAGTCCTCCAACGTTGAAACCATGTGGTTTGGGGCTTGGCTGTACCTACCAACCACCACTGCACCTGGAATGTGCAGCTTGAATCTCTTACTAGCACGCGTGTCATTGCTAGCAACGCATACAACCTGCATTGCCAGACTATGTAAAATAAAAGTATTCACTCTAAAAAGCATAATAATTATTCTTTTTTTAAAGAAATAATGCCTCCTAGAGACTTTGATTTTTCTGGAGCTTAACTTACATTATTACATGCATTATTATTGGCTGATAGGGGCAAAAGGCAAACTACAAATAAACCCAGTGACATATGTAGTTTTTAAATCTACAGTTTTCTGATCTCTCTCTCCTTGTTTAATACGTAAGCCCTAATTTCTGTGTATGTGAGTAAAACTGCAGCCTGAGTCATTTAGGAAGTAAGCATTGAGTTTTTTATTATAAATATACTAGAATAAAACAGCACTCCCTAACAATTAAAAAAAAGAGTTTTATATTACTTTAGAATGTAATAGGTTTTTGTCCTTATTTTATGTCCTGTAAATTATTAGTTGAATACTGTTAGCATTCCCTGGATAATGCACACATGATTTCTGAATGTTTTCTGTAAATGACAATCAATGTTTATGAAGTTCCCTCCTTTAATGCTGAACAAAATTAAAAGAAGAAAAAGGAAAAAAGTCTGGCCTCATTATTTTCTTTTTCTCACACAGGAAACAAGGAGGCTATAAAGTAGATAGATAGATTTGGCTTTGAAAATATTATTCCATGGGTTCCAACTTACAAAATTGCCCTTTTTTTCCAGTAAATACTGGGTGATTTTTTTTTTTCTGGAAAGTCTTGTGTCCTCATGGACCTAGTCTGAGTTAGAAATGCTCATTGAGAAAAGACCCAGGCTTCATTCTAGCCAAATAGCTTACCAAGTTGCAGTTAAAATGAGAACACCTCTCTAAGATACTAACTAAAATAACGCTAATAGCCCTACTTTTCTAGAACTTTCATAAAACGAAGCCCTACCTAGCTGAGTCATGAGCCACTCCTTTGCTGCTGAAATGTTATAGCACATTTGAAATAGATGGAAGTTTTCAGATAATAATTAATAGTTAAGCCTCTCATCTGATTTTTTTTTTAAGCAAAGCATCACCAAAATCAATGCTCACCAACATAGGAATGCTCTGATTCTTATTTGAAGCTGTAGTAAGAAGTGATTGAGGCTAATCCCAGACTCACAGTTATGTTTTTTAAAAAGCAGTTCTAAGAGATGACAGTGATTTTTTAGGTGCTCAGAAGCTATTGCAGGTTGGGGTCCCTAGAGCTGGCATGTTCTGAGAAATGCAGTTTAAAGCAAGATTTAATAGATTTTAAAACTAGAACCACTGGCCCATATGATAGGATAAGCATCAGAAAGCCTTTCTTCTACAGAGTCTCTCCCAACTTCAGTCTTTGGAACCAGCAGAAACCCTTGAAATACGTATGTTTCAAGACATCCAGATCCCCTGTGGGAATCTTAACTCAAGATCATCTCAGATCTCTTGAAACAGAGAAATACACTGATGTTTCCATGAGGGTACCACTTGTCCCTTGTTTTCTAATCAAGTCTTCAAGTGACTAGTTAGAGACATCAAATATATTAACACAACCTATCCCAGGCTCAGGTCAATTGTCACCAACAATAGATCACAGAATCTTAACTATAAAATCATCTCGAGTTTTGTTAGAAACCTAGATTTAAGCAGGATTGAAACACATAATGAAATTTACTGTTTTTAAAATTGAGGTTGGATCATATAAGATGACAATGATTAACCTTTGATAGCATTACTAAAATTATGAATTAAGCCCTTTTTGTGCTCAAAGCTTTGTTTCATTCATAGGTCTTCTTTTTTATTTAAAAGTAAGAACTGGCAGCATGTTTCCATAATCACACCAGGAATGAGGCATTTCAGGTATCAAAGGAGTAGCCAGGGTTTGGCCTCATACTCCCAAGTAGCAACTCCTTGACCCAAATAAAGATGAGGCAGAAGTGAAGCAAACCCTTTGCTGTCATCTTGGTAGAGAGGTGTCTCAAATTACCAAACTGTGCTATAAAAATTTTACCTGTTTTCTAAATTTGAACTAGCTAAGCTTAACTAGTTAAAAGACTACAGAATTCTAGATGGCTGTGCCTCACAGATCTTATGTCTCCCAAGTTCATGGAGTAGAACATGGCATAGTGTAAGCATTCAGTAAATGCGGCAATTATGCATTGGGGTTCATCGTCCTTTTGTAATTTTAGTTTCCCAATGGTCTATCCTGTCATCTCACTGGATCCTCCAGCAGAGGCACAGATACAGATATGCTTTTTACCATAAGCAGTAAGAGGGAAACAACAGCCCATTGTCAAAGAGCACTGGAAAGCTCTTTCCCTTTCTTTCTACAAAGATTTAACCAAAAGCAATAAGGGAAGAAGCCTGAGTGGATATTAGAGGTTAGACTTAATTTTCCAGATTTTTCACAGAAAACTCAGCAAGGCAGGAAGCAAACAGAGAGACCAGGGAGACATAAAAGCCTGGCCTGGGAATATTCCTCTCAAATCTCAGTCTGGTTTCATCAAATCACAAAGTCTCATCAATAAGAACAGAATCTAGAGAACTGATGAATTCTTGAGCTATGTCACTGTACAAATAGGAAATTTTAGAGAAGATACTGCTTTTTAAGAGATGGAACCCATTATAGTTGTAACCATGTGTTCCTGTTGCAGCAGTCACAACAATAGGCCAAATGTCATCTTAGATGTCATCTTAATCACTGGATACTTTGCATGTGGTCAGATGAGGGGAGCAAGAGAGAGCTTGAAGGATTACACAGGAGGTTGGATGGGCCAGGCCTACACACATTCCATGAATCAGAATTAACCCCACAGCACCACATAATAGTAAAGGTTAAGGGAAATGCAGTCTACCTGTGTAACCATGGGGAAAGGGAAACTGGAATGGGAAACCCTCAGTAATCCCGACACAAATGTGAAAGGAATCCACGGATGTCTCTAACCTGATTTCCTATGAGATACTGCAACAAACACTCATTCAATGAATATTCATTTCTATTAATATATGCCAGGTACTATGCACTGGGAATATAATTGCGAAATATGATATAGACTCTGCCTTATGGATCTATGCTCTAGGTCCAAGAAAGGTGCTTATACAAGAGGGCAAAAGTTTAACACAAATAACTATAAAAGATAAACTTTATTACAACTGTTATACTAGTTACAGCTACAGGGGCCAATACCCTACTTGTATATTAAACATGAACTAAGAGAATTATAACACTTTTGCATAGCCAGCTAAAAGTATTTAACCAGGAGGATGGAGAATGGAATTAATCATCACTTTAGAGCTCCAAGCAGCAGCAGAAGGGATTTACCAAATGGCAGGGAAGTTTTCCTGGAGCTGCGCTCCCTTCTGAGCTATCATGTAGGATCATGAAGGATTTGTTAACCACTTCCTCCTCTGAACTTTCCATCCTTACCACATTTCACAAATCTGAAGCCCTGCAGTTCTCTGACATGCTCAGGTAAAATGCCATTTGAACTTTCCCTTTGGGAAGATAAAACATTTTTAAGGAGGGATGGAACTGACTGAGGGTTGGGGTAGGTTAGAGGGGAAAGCAAAGTCAGGAAAGATTTTCCTCAAATAAATAGTAACTCTCATGACCCTCAATCTGCAGAAATTTGAAATGGCACATCTACACCATTGGTCAGGGAACTTTTGTTCATTACATGGTGAAATTCCGCGTACATAGTAGACAGATTATATGAAAATATGATGTGTGTAGAAACTTGATTTTTGGGGGGAGGATCTTAAGCACAAGAAATGTGGGTCTTGTACTTAAAGCCATTGAGCTCTAGATGTTTCTAGTTTTCACAGTCATAATAATATTATCTACTAAAATAATTCCTCCCCTCAAATAACCTTTTGGCACATATCTAAATTCTACATAGGGACTCCCTAGTGGTGCAGACAGTAAGGCATCTGCCTGCAATGCAGGAGACCCAGGTTCAATCCCTGGGTCAGGAAGATCCCTCGGAGAAGAGAATGGCAACCCACTCCAGTATTCTTGCCTGGAGAATTCCATGGACAGAGGAGCCTGGCGGGGTACAGACCATGGGGTCACAAAGAGTCGAACACTAGTGAGAGACTACCACTTGCACTTTCACTTAATTCTACATCATCCAAATGAAATAATATCTTCATCTTTACTGATTCTTTCCACTAAAACTAATTATTTCAGCATAATAAAAAAAGGGGAGGTTTCTCTGAGATCTCGCACTAAATTCTCCTCTCCAATACACTGCTCCTCCCTGAAATCAGGAATTAAATTCTTAAAAGTACTCTCTATGAACTTGTGGAGATTCAACTCTCAGATAGCTAAATGGCACTATTCTGTGGAAAATACTCTGATATTTCACAGCAGAACTTAAATGTCTTATCTGGACAGGTTCAAGGTAGCAGTAAGATTGCTCTTTCTAATTCCCATTCCAGATGCTATCTAAACACTTTCATCCAACTTCCAGCTTTTACTTCATTCACACATCCATTCCCCTTCACCCTGACAAGAATAAATGCCCGTCTCATTGCCCTCAATGGACTATGCAGTAAAATTCTTTAAAAATAGACTCTTCAAAGAAAGAGCCCAAACATTTGCTCAAAACAAGCAGTAAATCTTTTTCACACTGGTTTTTCACATAGATTATATTAACTATTTTTCTGCTTGTCCCCAGAAGTCAGGGATAACAATTTCCAAATGCAAGGCATTGTGATAAAATGTAAAAGAAAAATCTGAGAGGCAAAGCAGAAAGGAGAGGTGAGCTCAGGCCCTACATCCCAGAATCACATCCCTTTCCCTCATCCATTCAACAAATAACGAGTGCTTTGTCGTCGTCATGCTTAGTCGCTCACTCACGTCCACCTCTTTGCGATCCCATGGACTGTATGTAGCCCACCAGGCTCCTCTGTCCATGGGATTCTCCAGGCAAGAATACTGGAGTGGGTTGCCATCCCTTTCTCCAGGGATCTTCCCAACCCAGGAATTCAACCTGGGTCTCTTACGTTGCAGGCAGATTGTTTACCATCTGAGCCACCAAGAGAGTCCATTGAGTGCTTATTATATGCTCAGTATTTTATCAGATCTAAAGTACAGAAAGATGATTAACATGGACCCTATCCTTGAGGTTTTCATAGTGTAGAAAGACTGGCAGACCAGCAAACAAATGCAGTGATACACATCAAAAGAGGTGTTTAGAGAGAGGGTTTTGGTGACTGTAAAGGAGGAGAAATTAAATCAATTTATATTTGGAAATAGTTGTGGAGCAAAATGAAAAACAATGCCATTTGAACTGAGCCTTGAAGGATGGTGAGATGTTCTTCTGGAGAAAGAGTATTTCTAGTAGTGGAAGAAGCATATACAAAAAGAGAGACAGAGATGTCTAGAATATGGAGCAACTGGCAGCTGCATTCCAAATATTACCCTCAGACATGTTTTGTTTGGTTTATACTTAATTAGGAAATTCCATGTGAAATTAGACTCTCCAGATTCTTTTATAAAAAAAAATAAGATCTGGCAATAATATTCCCACATTCTCATATGGAAAAATTGTTCCTTTTAGGACATGTTTTCTCAAGTTTTGCTCTTTACT